CCGCCGTAGGGGCGGGGACGCAGGGCGGCGGGCGCGAGGCGCGGCGCGGCGCGACGCAGCACGGCGCTGCGGCGGCGGGCGCGCGCCTTTTTCTGGGTGGCCTTGAGGCGGCTGTGTGTGGTGTCCACATCCTCATCCAGCTCATCCAGCATGCGGCCCTGACAAGATGGATTTGGATTCAAACTGTTAGTTTGGTGCCAAAAGTTGGTTTTTGGTGCCAAAGTTGGTCTGGGAGATTGCCTGCATTGGCAAAGCCCCAGTCAACCCCGCGGTCAACCCCAACCCCACTCGAAAACCCCTGATGCGTTCGTATTCAACCCCACCTACGCGGGAGTCGAACGGTCCAAGCCCCAGTGAACCCCTACGCAAAGCCCACACACTCACGGCCGACTTCCCATCAAGCCGCAGGCCACACCCAATCAGCACTCCCCGCAACCCAGCCGGCCCCACCCCACGGCCCCAGCGGCGCCCACCCCTTCGCCCCACCTGGCTCTCCAATTCCTCGTGAATCGTGAGCCCCACCCTCCCCAGCCGCGTGACCGCCTGCTCAATGTCTTCCAACTCATTGTCCTGCTGCCTGTCGCGCGTGAAGAGCGGGAGTGCGGGCGGGCACGCAGGACGGGGTGTGAGAAAAGCTTGTTGGTGGAAATGAAGTGTGCCAGGCTGAGCGCCAAGACAAGGGGTTTGCCCTGTTTCTTTCAACTGCTTGTCCCGCTGCCGCTCATGCACGGTGAGCGGCAGAAGATGATCGTCAGTTGCACATGAGGGAAGGGGCGTGCGGCATGGGCAGGTGCAACGTGTGGTGGTGGGGAGAGAAGTGTGTTTGGTGCGGTCGAGCTGAAGCTCAGCTTGTAATTCTGCCCAGAACACACACAAAGTTTGATCAGGGGTGCAGTAGGTGGCCACGGGATAGGAGGTGAGGTGTCAGCAGAGGTGGGATATACTTATTTTTTACCTCTGCTCACGCCCGACGGGCGGGCAGAGGGATGGGTAGGGGTGGGACGGGCGAGGAGCAGGGGGGAGGGGGGG